TTTTTTTTTTTTTTTTAATGAGTAATAGTGCGCTCGCAGAATTTACCTCGTTGTTTGATAGGTATCAAAACCAGAGGCAGTTCTGGTATAGCGTTGAACAGGTAATTCAGGCATAGCTGGAAGGAGATTTTATGGAGGAGTCTATCGCATGCTTCTGCACCTCTCGAAGCGGCCGCTCGCTCGCAGCGCCCAGATAAACAAGACTCCGTCTGATGCTGCGTTGCTGGGGTAGGGCAAGTACCCAACATACCAATAAGTCCTCGCCTTGGCCGTATGCCAGCAAATGCAAAAGCCTCATCAGTGCCTCTGCCGTGTGCAAGACATTTTATTTACGAGCAAGCGGTCTTTTCTTAATGGAGAGGAGCCGGGGTACCATGGTCCCTCTCGTCCAGCGTCCAGTCTCAGCCTCCATTTCTCTCGCCGCACAATGGAGCATTTGCATGCAACTTTTTTATTGCTTCATTTGAAAGTGCTTGAAGAGCTGGTTTCATAGTGTTTTTTATAATTTTTTTTCTGATTTGGAAAATAGTTTAAAAATAGATTTAAAAGTGAAAAAATGCACCGCCTAGTGACGTCATATGGCGGCATTTCCCATTGAAACACACGTATCATAGCAGATTGGATCATTTTGTCATATCTTCTCCAATAATTTTTCAATTCATGAACCGAAGGTATCCTCGTGTCCAGTTTACTCAGTAGTTATTCCTCTCAAACATGGAGTTCATCAAATTTCAGACACCTGCAAATCCTCCATTGAACGATTCATTAGAAGAGATCGGACAAGGCCTTTTTTCTGATGTCGCAAATTTTGAAGTTTACTTCGTCACAATTTCAACTTCCAGGGGTGGCTCCGTGAGAGAATTTCACGGAAAACCCGATAGAATCATTATTAAACTTTTCCGATTCATATTTTCGAAGATGTGTAAGCTTTCAAAGTTTCAAAATTTTGTCCAACTCCTCCAATGGACGTGTTTCATTGTGCGCCGATCGCACGATGCTACGCGCAGGGCAGGGATCCTAACCTGTCGTACTCAGGAAAAAAGGCATGAGAACATTTAAACATTGCCAAGTTTCATCTGATAAAATATGAATTTCCTGGCAAACGCTGGAATTTTTCCATCTGAATTTTGCTGAGTATTTTGTTTGCAAAATGATCCGGCGCGACAGAAAATTTTGAGAAAAAGTATCCATGAACTTTTTCAAAAATGAATGTTTAATCGAAGAAAATTAAACAGTATTCGGGTAGAGTCAAGACAATGTAAATCCATTTCTGATAGGTTCCCGAATTTTAGGCCTCCACAGTGTCACAAACGGGAATGAAGATTACATTTTCATCGATTGCAAAGATTATAATCTAGAATGGACCAGGGAATAACAGGTTCGACAAAGAACAAACGGAATGAGAGAAGGAACGGAGAAAGGAATTTGAGAATGAGCCAATCAAAGATTACGAATAAATGTCAATTTGTTTAATCTTTATTCCCGTTTGTGACTCCATGAGGGGGGTTGTCTTGACTCTTAGTATAAAGGGACTCTACTCTTACGACGCTCTTTAGCACGGGAGTAAAAATGTATCAGGATCCTTATTTTCTCGTCGTGATGAGAGGGGCCAGTCATGACTCGAGACTTGCTTAGAAAGTGGAACTTTATTGGAAACCACAAATCTCGGTTTTGCGATGTTGTAGACTTGCTGTTACGTTTTAATTTTTTAAATGATAACCGGATCGCATTTAGCAAGGAACCACCGTGATTATGCAGTGTTGTAAAAATGTTACTTCTTCATAACTATCCAAGAAATCTCTTAGAATGGCAAATAGGTTTTGCTTCCCACCAAAAAAGTATTAATTTTAAAGGAAAATACTGGCGTGAATTTTAATATTGTACAAAAATTAAGTATTTTTAAAAGAATAGGAGAAGTCGCACGATTTTGAAAACACTGTAATCGCGCTGGTTCCTTTTTGCTAAATGCGATCCAAGTACCTAATCATCGTCAATGTGCATTAAGATTTCATTGATTTATTTCTTTTTTCCCCTCTCCTTGGGGAAATTTTTTGATGATTTTGCACAAAAATATACAGATGTATTCTTTTAAGATTGTGATACATGGTCAACCTTTGTACCGAGACGCTAAAAATATGCTTTCATTGCGAGTTCCCAATATTGCAGGCAGAATGCCGCCGGTCGACGCTTCCCCCTCCCCCTTTGAACATTTTTTCGGAGAAGGACGAGTTTCTTTTCCCCATTTTAAAGCTAATTCAACAAAAACACCCGATAACGTAAGAAAATAAGGCAAAACCCCTTCAATTTTTGCGTAGGCAATATTGACAGCTCCGAAACACGAATACTTGCATCAAGGCGCTACAGTCAAAGTAGTGAATTAGTGATTGATATTATAGCCACAAGCTGCGTAGTACAATTTTTGTTCGTGATTGGACCGCTGAAAAAGCAAGAAAGGCAAAACGCCCTCAATTTTAACGTAGGCAACATGAGCAGCTCCGGAACACGATTATCTGCATCAAGGCGCTAAGCTGCCGTGCTAAGCAAGAGCGCCGTAAATCCATCAAGATTTTTCCGCGTTTTTTCAAACTTAACGCTTTATAAAATAAAAACTGTTTTACCTATGCACCTCACATTTTCGGGAACTCTGTGAGAATATTGTCCCAAAGTACACGAGTTTTTCTGCTATGATACATTGTTTCCAAAAAGTTCAAAATGGCGTTTACGGCGATTTTGCATTGCACGGCAGCACGGTCAAAGAGGTCATTGAAACTGTAGCCTCAGGTTGTTAAGTGTTGTTTTTGTTTTTGAAAGGAGCGCGAAAAAGGCATGAGAAGGCGGAACGCCTTCAGTTTTTGCGTAGGCAGCATAGGCAGCTTTGAAACACGAATAGTTGTATTAGGTCACCACTCTTAAAGAGGTTATTGAAACTGTAGCCTTTGGATGCATGAAGCTGTTTTTATGACAGGAACGCTGGACTATTTGGAAGAGCTTAAAAAGACAGAATCCCTTCAATTTAGCGTAAAAAACGCAGGAAGCTCTGAATATATGCATCAAAGGCACTGCTGTCAATGTGGCGATTGAGATTGTGGTCTCAGGTCCCTGTTAAAAATTGGCTATAGGAGCTGCGTTTCAAAATACCATAGGAAATTCTTATAGCCGCCTATCAAAAGCGATAGAAAATCATATAGATATTTATTGAAAGCGAGGAAAATCATACAACCGGGCCACAAAAAGCAATAAACAAGTAAACAGACGGGCCATAGTTCCTAACGGCGGGCTGTACAGTTCCTGTCGCCGAGCCATGCATACAGTTCATCGTCTGGCTATAGCTCTATCGCCAGCGGCTATAAGAGGCTATACAAATTGTACAGCCGGCTATAGAAGCTGTAAGAAATCTTATGGCCGGCTATAGGTCTATGGTATTTTGGAACACAAATCCTATGGCCAATTTTTACCCGGGGTAGTGCTGTTTTTGTTTGTGGGTGGATCGCGGAAAAGGCATGAGCAGGCATGAAAAGGCAAAACGCCTTCAGTTTTTGGATAAGCAACATAGGCATCTTTGAAACACGAATTATTCAGTAAGGTAACTCATTGGGGGCTCATTAGGGGCCACGCTTCACGCAATTCGCGTCACACCCATGCTGCAGTCTGCAGTGCTTGGCTGGATATGGCAGCAAAGTTGCGGGCATCGACGATTGAGCACAGGGGAGAATTTCATGAGCGCCGCCGCCCGCGGCGCACTATGATATGGTCCAACACTCAATTATAGGAACAAATAAGTCGGATAATGACCAGGCCCGCAACATCCCATCTCGGGCCCTGGTACCAGTTTTAAGGTCCGGGCCCCAAGAACGGAGGGGGGGGGGGGGNGGGGGGGGGGGGGGGGGGGGGGGGGGTCCGAGGGGCATCCCCCGAGAAATTTTAGAATTTATACGACTAATCGGACGCATTTTGAAGCTTCCATAAAGAATTGTTCCATCAATTTCTGCGGAAAAATTATGTTTTTTTTTCTACTTTCAGCACAAAATACTTGCGAATTGTTGCATTCAAAACATCTGGAACAGTTTTATTTATTTATTTATTTATTTTTTTTTGGGGGGGGGGGCATATGGTACTAATTTCAGTTCTAAGAGGGCCAGGCCTCCCTGGACTCCCCCTTCGTTTGTCTATGGCAAGGGAGTTGAGCCATGAGCCATTGAATTCGAGGATGCCCAGACTGGAGACTCTTATAGCTTCTGACGACGGAAGAAAATGAAACGCGGTTACTAAAAATATCCCTCTGTACTGAAAATCTTGAAAACAGATAGAAATTTTCCAGGAAGTATACTTCTTTGAAAATTTAAGAAGAATTCTACAGTGCCCCAGCGTGTTTCTGAAAATCTATTCACCTTTTGCGAAATTTTTAGGGTAAATTTTTCACTTTTTCTTACAAAACAAGGGTAGCATTTGAATTCGTAGTGGTTTTTCACGGGTAATACGGGCCCCCTCCGGGTCCTGGGCCCCGGCACCAGGGACCCAGTATCCCCCCCCCCCCTTGTGGTGGGCCTGATAATGACTGAGAGATCACGTAAGTTTCGAAACTGCTGTTTTTTGAGTCGCCAATTTCGAATTCGATGTCAAATTACCTACATTTTAACACCCTGAGTCCCTATTAATTGTGGGCAAGTTTATGGCACGCTGCGGCGCGGCGGCGTGCTTGCCAGCTCGAAACGCGCACTGACGCCTACAAACCTAAAAGGATACTTCAAGCATTGCGCAATGCGTGAGGTATCCCTTTAGGTTTAGGCGCTGGCAGCACGCCGCGGCTTTTCCGGCGGGCGGGTGGTGATTTGAACGATTTCTTGTGGTGGGGCAGCCGCGTTTATTTGAAAATTGCGCCTTTTTCATTCCCGCTAAAATTGACCAATCGGAGTGTTCTGTAAGGTTCCTTTTCGAAGGTGGGGTAGCAACCAAAGCTGCTACTACCCATCTAACAAATATACTCTTTTTTCACCAGTTTCCGCAATCCCCGCATCTACGTCAATTTTCAGATTCCTCCTTCCTCCATTGTGGCCATATTGTGTGGTGAAGTGCACGAATCCTTCTCCTCGTCGAGTCACAGTTATCTGCTGTGCCAAGCTATCTTATTAAAATCTAATTTTGTTTCAATAAAATTTCTAATATTGTCAATCGTATGTCCGGATCCATCCAAAATCTCAATACTTTCGGTAAGAGTTACATTACATTATCTCATTTCCACACTTACAATCCGTCGTCCAAAATGGCCGCTGTTCGTGCTTTTCTCAGAATTAACCACTCGCTGCTTTTCTTCCTCTAAATCTTTGCGATTATTAAGTCTTTCCGATTGTTATTCGAGTTCTTAATCAACTCATAGAACAAGAATGGAGTGGAGTTGTGGCGTCGCCCTAGTTTGAACCTCAAACACTCTTTGTCCCTCTTGCACCACTTCGGGGCGATTTGCCATGAGTTGTCGGTTCACTTACAGTACTTTTTGAGGAAATTCTTTTACTTCCTTCTACACATTGCACTCACTCAATCTCCTCAAGAGTGAAGGAGTATTTTACCGAGTGCCAAGCATATTCTTCCTTGAGCCCCGAGTCGAATCCTACTTGGTCCTCCAAGGGCCAGCCATGACTTGTAAACTGTTATGACGAACCAGATCAAAGCCATTGCTTTCCTGCATTCTACCAACAAAACAATTTAAAGCTCCTAATAATACACATGCAAGAGTGTATTATATGTGTTTGATATTGTGAACTGGTGACTGATCACCGAGTAGGTTCTCTTCGCAAAGTACCAAATCAAAGTGCTGTTACTGCTGCTATTATGGCCACTTGTCATCCCTATCTTTCCCGGAATGGTGTCAAAGGCTCATTCTTCGCAGAGGAAATTTGATGCATTGGAAGGTTCAAATGTTCGTACTTAATGTTTGTTTGGGATTATTTGGTTTACCATTAACTTCCTTTGTTTCTTCTCTTTGTTGGTAGTACCCAGTCTTACTTGTGCACTGCTCTTAATTTCTTTGTTCCGAATATCTTCCTTCAATTCTCCTGAAGATCTTCTGGGTCTCCCATTCCTTTGGAAAAACTGTTCAGAAGCTTATCCTAACAATTCATGAGCTTCATGACTATATTCGAAGCGAGAGTGACTTACGTATGAGGATATGAGCTGAAGAAGTTTTCTCACTTTTAAACAGAGGTGGAAGATCTGTTCTGTCATCTCGATTCTTGCACTTATTTTCTATGCTTAACGAAACATAGCTAGTCTCTTGTTGCACTACTTTTACAAGTAGGTGAACTTATTTGGCTTGGACTCAAATGGAACTGACGAAGGGAAAGAGTGAAATAATGTCGCATCAGAAAATGATACGATTCGACTGAAATCTGCACACTATCCAATGCGCCAACTATTGATTGATGCATTTCAAGTTGATGTAACGATTGTGATGTGTCCACTCTTTTCTTTCCCCAGTTCTTCCAGTGTGAGTTCCTAAATTGTGTGATGTTCACTAATCGCAGAATTCTCATTACAATTTTTTTTCTCTTTCCAGACCCCTTTGCTGATGCAATCAAGGGTGCAGATGATGATGTGCAGGATGGTCTTGTTCACATAAGAATCCAGCAGAGGAATGGTCGTAAAACCCTAACAACGGTCCAGGGCCTGTCAGCTGATTATGACCTGAAAAAGATTGTCAGAGCATGCAAAAAGGTATGAACTTTCTCAAATTATTTATCTAGATTATTATGGTCTAGTGTCTCTGTAAACTAAGCACAAGCTTATTTTTCTCTCTTGGGTTTAAATTCTGATCACCATTCTGAGAACCCATACGTGATCTCGGTGTAAATTCCATTCAGGCAAATTTATTTTGTCTGCTAAGTTTCGATCACACACATTAAGGAAACATCACATCTTTCTTTCGTCCCGAAATTTGTTTCTAAGTGTAGCAGCTTTTTTAACTGAGCTTTGACCTCTTTCTATCCTTGTTAGCAGGGTTTAAGAACTTCAGAGATTTAAGTAATGCTGATCAAAGAATGCTGAAGATTTAAGGCCCCTCCAGACCCAAGAGCATGTGCCCATAGGAGCGTCACTTTAAATCCAGCAACGTTTTCTTTTCTTTACAGGCATCACATTGCACCCACTTTCTCATTTTCCTAAAATATTTATAGTAAATTTCAGAGGAACTTTGAGTCATCAGAGAAGAAATTGTATTTCTTTGCATGGTGGATAATAGTTTAAAAGTTGAATTCAAGCAATGTGGATGTGGGCTCTTGCTGTTTCGTTAGAATGCCCATCCTATGTCAATGATTGTTGTGAGTGGAAGATTGCACACTTTAAAGCTTGTTTAATATACATTTTAAACAAGTGTCGGATATGTGCTACATAAATTATCGTCACGGTTAAATATTAATTGTGTGAAATCACTGATTAATGTGTCCTGTGATGAGGACACTCCATCTAGTCTTCAATTGGACTGCATTTTGCAATTTGGAACTATAAATTCCGGCCCAGTTTGAAAACAACGTATGTGACATTAGTTCCCCTATGCACATAAGTGTTTTTTCAGATGAGTCAGAATTTATAGTTCCAAATTGCAAAATGCAGTCCAATTGAGGTGAAGATGTATTGCAATCTGCCAGAAGTTTTAAAACTAAGCCAAAACACAAGTTTTTGCTCTTTTGTCTGGTGTACACAAAAAAGGGTGAAATGAGTTGAGTTCAGCTCCATCATTTAGTTGCATGTTTTTACGATTTTTTAGTTGGTTCTGTCCATGAAAGTGGTCCATGTGCAATATCAAAATTTTGGCTTTTTAGTGTCCACACTGAAACGAACTTTTTTTCCATCTCCTTGTTGCCTTTGCCAGGAACAATCAAACGCTTGAAAATGTTTTAAAAAACAACAATAATTTTTGATTCTCCTTGGATGCCGAATTACTAGCTGCAAAAGGATTAATTCAAGTGAAACAAAAACTTGTCTATATTAACCAAAACGACCCAGGTTGGATCGAGTATTGTCAATTCTTCTGATTTCAATTTTATTTGGTGGCACATTTTTACGCCCTTTTAGTTCATGGTGTCTAAAAAGGTGGTCAATGTGCAATATGAAAATTCCTACTTTTCAGTGTCCACAGTAAGATGGATCTCTTTTTCATCTTCCTGTTGCCTTTGCTGGAAACAATCCAATGTTTAATCTGACTGTCCAATGAAATAAACATCAATTTATCGGCTCATGATTTCTTTCTAATGCGGAGAATCTAGTCTTAAAAAGATCTCTCCAGTGCAAGTGGACTAAAAACTCGAGTATCACTGTACCAGGCTATTCAACACTAGCGGAATATCTACTTCTGTCTCTTTCCGTTGCAACTTCCTAATTTATTTTGGACGATCTTAAAATAGTTCCAACAAGCATTTCATGGTAAAGGAGAAAATGAGTTGCGAAGACAAGGAAAGCCAAGGCCTATTTTATTTATTTATATTTCCTATACCTTAATTTTTTCTGTTATTATTGTTCTTATTAAATCATTGTGTCCTTGATTTTATTATCAACAACATGGGGCTGGTATATCACTCCTCTAAGTCAGTCGATACAGATGAAAGTCCCAGAATCAGAGTTGATTTCAAAGGAAACATTTTCCGAATTTTGAAAAAAGAATAAAGGAAAAAGATAAAAAAATTTAATTTACCAATTTAAATCGTTCGATGTCGAGAGTGGAATTAGCTTAAAATGAAGTTAAACTATTACTGAGGTTAAATTAGGTTCAAGACTAACTTGGTACTATTGATTTTTTTTAAAAAGATATTCAACAACTGCCGCAGAAAGAATTAATCTTTCATTGGACCGCATTCTGCAATAAGGAGCCACTATCTCTGGCTCATTTTAGAAACATCATATATGCCATTAGTTTCCCTATGCAGTAAGGTGCTTTTATGGAAGAGCTGGAGATAGTGGTTCCCTATTAGCAAATGTAATCTAGTTATTCAATCATTAATTGATCTTTTCCTAACGCGCTCTACATTTCAAGTGATATTGCCAAATGTTATCTATTTATTCAATCATTAATTGATCTTTTCTTAACGCATTCTACATTTCATGTGATTTTCATTTTATTTGTTGACAGGAATTTGCCTGTAACGGAACTGTCATCGAACATCCTGAATATGGAGAAGTGTTGCAGCTCCAAGGGGATCAGCGTGAGAACATCTGTCAGTGGCTCACTAAAACTGGCCTCGCCAAACCTGACCAGCTAAAAGTTCACGGGTTTTAATATGTTGATATTCTTCATGTTTTGAGTTAAATTAGGTTTTCATACAAGTTAAATGAAAAGCAAGAAGTAATAAGGTCACTCTCCCATCAAAATATCTCAAGCATGCATGAATTGTAACGTCTCCAACTTTCTAAACTCGCTGAATTGAGAAACCCAGTCATTATTCTATCATTGTCGGCTTGGTGCAGTGTTTAGTAATGTTGACCTCAACTCCAAATTCGTATAACACCGTCAATGAGATTCCAACCCGTTACTGTCTCCATGACTTATTAGAGCAACAAAAAATAATGTTTCCTCCATTGATTTCATGACCCACCTTTTTTAAGTAAACCAATTCACAGTTTTATCTAGCACCATGTCAATATCATCCACATCTCGATTTGTTTCCATTTTTTGCTCTTTCTTAAGGAGTTGAAAGATGGCTGCAAATGTAAAAAAAAAGGAGAAAACTTTTTAAAGTGCTACAATTTGGCTCAATTCCTGTCGCCCAACATTAAAATGTGTTTTTGTCTAACTCATGTATGAGGCACAAAGTTGACCTGAATGAATCCTTAGGCAACTGTTGTTCGTCTGTGATGCTTCAAACTCATCCGCAAGTTCTCCCTCTGGAAATTTTGTGGAAGTTTTAATTATACATTTTAATCAATCGTAGAAACAGTCTGAAGCAAAATGTTTGCTGTCAAGAGTTGTTTCGTTCTCTCATCCACTAGCACGAGTGTATCATATTATAAATACATGTACATGGTTCAAAGAGAAAACTGAAGTTTCAGCCTTTATTTTTTGTTGTCTGTAACATACTGATTTTTAAGTGTTCTATTAATTTTAAAGTTTGAACAAAACTAGGTCTAAAGAAGATGTATGTGTACAATATTTTCTATCTGATGTAAAAGTAACCATGAATATTGTTTGTAGTTTCATTTTTACTTTACACCTCCATGTTTTCCAAGCAATAGTTCTTTTGAAAAGGTTGCCATGTCCAATCACTCTTATTGTCAGTAACTTCTCCTAGTCATCACTTATTTCTTCATTTTAAGGATAATGTTGATCTGCACTAAGCCTCTTTACTTCTGTAAACTTTCATCATTCCATTGACGTGTTAAAAGACAAGATAACAATAACAAGCATTGTAAACAGAACTAGCTACAACATACATGTTCATAGCCTAATTTTAGAAATAAATCCTCGATTGTTAATTTTTTGTTATCTGTCGATAAATTCAAGCATTTTGTTATCGAATAAAAGAACATTTAAAACTGTCCGTCTCCTCAACTGAAGTTAATTTGTTCTCCACATCAACCTCATATATGGGTTGCATTTTTCCCATTGAAGTATATAATTACTAATGATTCCACTGCTGTTATTTTTTCTTTATCTTTCTCCAGGCTCATTATCAGACAATGAGGCAAATAAATCTAAATCAGTGGTTTTCGAATTAGTTTTTAGCCCTTTTGAATTGTCCCTCTGTTCCTCAACTGCAAATACGCAGCCTTCTCTTGTTGGAAGTCAATTTTATTGTACATTTCTTCATCCTATGTAAAGTAACACAATTTAAAATGTTCATATTTTCGACGCAGACTCCAAGAAGTCTTCTAAGTTTTTATAAATATTGCATCTGCTCCGTGACACTAATGGTGGAACATCTAAATTAATTGTCCTGGAAAAACTGTTTCAAAGAATTATATGGATGGTGAACTGCAAAAATGCCTAATTATTTTCTGGTTTTCTCTCTGCTCCCATTCTATCTTACTTACAGAGAAGAAAACAATATAGGTGCTTGCAATTTTCACAGAGCATTCATCACACGGAGGAAAAAAACCGAGAAGTCCTTAAGGAATGACGATGCATGTTGAATAATCTTTAAATAAATTATGACAATGTGTGACACTATGTTGCCAATCAAGACACGTGATTTTGCAGTTTCTCAACAGCTCGATTTTATCACATTTCTCAATCCAGATCGATCAGCAATACATGCGCTTCTGTTCACCCAGTTCTGCTCAAAGTATGGGTAAGAGCATTTTTAGACGCTTTTGTTTTTAAGAGGTGAGGCCTGCTGAGGACTTTTTAGGAAAAAGAGCATTTCACTCTGAATTGATTGACGGTTTAGGGAGGAGCCTTAAACATGGTGCAGACCCCTAGCATGGATGAATAAATCTTCATAGAGATTTAAGAATGTTATTTTTGCAGACTGAGTGATGTCATCATCTTGCTTCCGTTTCCGGGTTGTTGTTCATCACGTGATGCATTCAGTTACGGAAGTTACGGTAGGCGGCTGTTCTCGTTGCGGACTTGGTTGCGGTGCGCAGTCCAATGTTTATTCGACACGTAGTACAAAATGAAAACAACCCTTTTGCTGACGCAATTGAGGTTATGGTTATACTTTGATATGGATCACCATAGTTACAGAAACATTGTGTCGCTAAATGTTCGATTGATAGTTTATTACCAGCAATCTTTGTTAATCAATTAAGCGTGTATGAATAGGGGTAGTAACAGATTGTAGTGAGACTCTAAATCAATTATTTTTCCTCTATACTTCATTCAATGTGGGGAAGTTTTCTTCAATTAGAGGTGTTTCTAACTCGTTATAAAGTTGGTGATTGACTTAATTCCTGTCATGATGAGCATCAAAAGTTTTCTCTTTTTATATTTTTTTACTCTTCTGTTGTTTTCTTGCCAAGGAGTAGCTGACGATGCGATCAATGTTGAAGAGGAGGCAGAACCATTCGTACCAACTAATGAATGGCAGACAATCAAACCAAGTGAGTACACTCTAGTAAGTAGAATGACCAACTGATTGGTATCGCAGGAAAGCATCATTTTTAAAAATCTGGCAGGTTTCTCACTGATGTTCAGACGAAATAATCTGAGGATATGTGAGGCTGTACTAGGAGCTAACCGGACGACCTCTGCCGTCTGTTTTACAGTGTTAATGTCTTCTTTTTAGGGAGCATTTAGTGACCTTTAATAATACACCATGCCAAATTTCAGAACATGAAACCGGCGTAAAAAATTTTTATGACTATTTTTCTGTTTTTGCTCCATGTTGTTTTTCTAGTAGGTACATACATGTTTAGTACAGCGTGTGTCGCAATAGTTGTTAGGCATGAATAGCATCAATGAACAGCAGACGGCTATCAGTTTTAGTTTACTCTATGAAGCTCTTTTGAATAGTAGAATTGATCACCAAAGTTTGCAATGAAAAAGCCGTGTAAAGATTTCAAATTTTCACAATGGTATAACAATGCCCAAACGCGGTGAAATTTTCATCGACAGCTTTGATCAATTGGTTTGTTTCACCACAACTGGATCTGAATAAAATATTGAAACTATGCATTTGCTAATGAGTGTTTTTTGTCGTTGTATTGAACCAGTTGCTGATATCAGGAGTGAAAGCATCAGACCACGTATCTCAGTTTGTGACGTTGCAGACTTCCCGGTCATACTTTATTTTTTAAATGGAATACTACTCAGCATCAATTCTTGAAAACCTCATTGACTTTTCCTCTCTCTGGGAAGAAAACTCTGAAAACTTCTAGGAATAATATGGATGTTTTCAAATCTTTTCATATCCTTTTTTTTGGAAGCTTTGGTTATCATGCCTACAGTTATAGGTAAGGTTTCAGGAAATAAAAATGAAATCCATAACAGTTTTACCATAGGCTTGTCAAGTTTTAGTGAACCCGCTAGGGGAATCATCATTTCCAAGCCAACGATCCAGATGTGAAAGTCTTTGTTGTAAGTATACAGCAACTGTCAGAATTTTTTTGCATATTGATATACCTGCCCTGTTTCTTTTCAGATCAAGCCATACCGAAAGGATTGCATGTAAGGGTCAATCTACAGACAGGGCTGAAAGAGGCTAAACTTTTGTCGGAGAAAGAAAATGAGAAAAAAGACACAGGATCATTGCTTGTGATACCTAACGAAGATACTTCATCAGCTCCAAGTGATGATGGTAAACTGGATCGTGCATCTTTAAAGAAAGCATTGCACAAGATGAAACCAGATGATGTTGTTAGTCTAGATGAAGTAAGTCTCGCATATATGTGTAAGATATAAGCGATAAGCAAGTTGTTTATTTTTTGTTTGCCTCCACCCGTAAGAATTTCAATTTTATTTCAGAAACAGCACAAGTTCATCTCTCTACTCGGACGTAAGTCACTGAAGTTTTACTCAGTCAGTGAAGCAAAAAGAAAAAAGGTTTGATTAAGTGTTTTGAAGAACACACATGGATCAGATTGATGTGCCATTGCAGGACAAAAGCACCAGTTTTACCTAATTATTAAATTAATTTTAGTTGATGCAAATATTTGAATACTGCTGACACTTTATTCCTATGCAATTGAAACCATGTAATTAGCATAAAATAATTGTCAATGGTAACTTAGTTCAGTTGTTCACATAATGTTTCAGGAAGCAAAGGAGGCTGCTTCCAAGTACCGATCCTATGATGAATTGAAAAAGGAATTCGCTGCATTGAACTTGACAATGAAAACAGACCTTGAAATAATGGCTGGACTTTTTGAAAGCTATGAAAAATTGCTCATCATGTATTCAAAAGTCTCTGAACCATCATTGGTGGTAGAGTCCATGGTAACTGTGCTGACTGACTTGGAATACCTAGTTCATCAAATCGACAATGCTAAAGAATTTGTGAAAAGTAATGGGTAAGCATGCTTCAAAATTTTTCCAAGCAAAATCTTTGTTAATTTATTTCTCCATTGTTATCTACCTACTACTACGCTCTTTTTGCTGGGCATTGGCATTTTTTTTGCTTTCATAGCATTTCAGATGGTTATACTTTCACTCCTCACTGAGTAAAAACTCTAATTTGTGTCTGGGAAAACGCTCAGTTTTTTGAAAGGCATCAAGGCCAGCAAGTAAACTTAACTGAACCCTGACAAAGTGAATAAAAATCTGTTTCTTTTTTCAGACTTAAACATCTCCACAAAGCACTAACTAAAGTTGAGGGTGGAAGATAGGCCATGAGTCAAACTACTAGTTATTGGTTGACCAAGGAAGCTTTATTTTACATGAAACGGATTCTGTTATACCTCTATTCTTCTATCACGATGAACTCAAGTTTTTGCTTGAAATGTTCTTCACATCTTTCATTTGGTGCAAAGAATTTCCGACGTTTTCGGGTTGGTACTTGCATAAATTCTTGTTTTAAAAAAATAACTAGACAAGACAGAGGAGACATTGAAATACAGCATGTGTCAACTTTTCAATTGGGCCTGAAAAAACTTGTAAACCTTCTTTTTTAAATTGTGCTTCAGGTTCTCTAAAATAATTTTGCCGTCATTCAACATAACCTCTCCTACTGTGCGGACTGAAGTGATGAAGCTCCTTGGATCTGCAACACAGAGTAATGCACAGGTACAAATTGCAGCTCTTGAGGCTGGAGCTGTCAATTTACTCCTTAGAACTTTTGCCCTAGAGAGAGAACACAAAGTAAGTACATCTTAAAAAATTCATCACAAATGTTAATTTCATTTACAGATTTCAATTAAAACGCCTTCAGAACTTTAGTTTGGTATTCTAACATTTATTGTCTCTAGATTGTTAAGCACCGCAGACTGTTTTACTAATCCGTGCTCAGGGGCGTTTTTGCTCTCGTTATTGCACAGTGATATACAGAAATTGAACCCATTTCAACATACCCAACGTGAGTTTTACTGAGTGCAGCCACTTCCTGTAAGGGTAAACATCTAGAACAAGGCTTCTCTATAACTTTCTATTGTGCCATGAAAGGTTAGCTGTTAATCTCAAGGTGATTTTCTGAATAGACCACCAATACTTTACTGTTACCGCACCTCTTATCTCTTTACTTTAGCCAATGAGAAAATTTTCAGTAGGTAGGAATAACAAGATCTCCATCAATAATTCTAAATGAAAATTGGGTTGTTGGCTACATGACATTAATGCCTCTGTCACCTCTTCCCCCATAGTACAACTTTATACATTGAATGGAGTGTTGAGGCGGTGGATAACCTCAGTATTCTTTTATCTAACTACAGAAGGGAAAAAATAACTGACTAAATTCAACCAACATTCATAAGAACATTTTTAGGAACTGGTGCCATGAAAACAAAACAACAGTCCAACAAACATGTGAGAAGGAAAAAACACACATAAAATGTGTAACCAAGGCCAAATTCATTTTTTTGAAAGGCTTGAACCTTTCGGAGTCCTGACAATCTCATCCCCAATCAGAAATATTAAGAAGGATTAAAAATTGAGAACTCGCACAACACAGATCAGGGCAGTTAGGTAACCCTGGGCTCATGACTACAGCACTTCATGCTATGATAATGTAGGTTTAAACTCTTGCTCAGCCTTTCTTAAATTTCTGTCTTTCTTCCCAATTTTTTCTGACCCCTTTTATTTTCTAAGACCTTGAAATGTCCAGAACTTATAATAAATTATTTTTGAACCTTACTAATCACTCATTTTTATGTGTGTTTTTTGTTGTGAAGAATCTGCTGAATGTGTATCTAATAAGATGCTGTCACAGAGCTTAAATCATCCTGAGTTAAAACCATCTCAAATATGGGTGTATAGGCTGAATCCATATCCGGTCCTGCAATCAATATTTTGATTCCTTTTGAAAAGTCATCAACTAATCAAAAGATTTGTCTCTTAACAAGTCAATAATGTCTGAAATATTATCTACTGATTTTCTTTTAGGTTCGCTCTAGTGCTTTGTACGCATTATCCTGTCTGGTTCGACGTTTTCCCACTGCTCAGTTGGAACTGACCAAACAGGGCGGCGTGGCAGTGTTAACTTCTTTATTTGAGGAGCATGCTGAATCAGAAACAAATCTAAAATTACAGGTATTGCTTCTTTTTAAATTATTTTTCAATGTGAGAAGTGTTTTAAAATCAATGTTTAAAAACGTGAATGTTAAATCATGTTAGTTAACTCCATCAGCAATGATAGAGAAGGAGAACTATAATTGGAAAGCAATATGCAAACTAATCACTGAGCCATTTTGGTGTTTTTATTCCCTCTATGGATATGACCCATCTGCTTCCTGTTGTGCATGCCTGTTTGAGCAAAGCTTAGCATTACAATCACATCTGCAAAAATGTGAAAAAAAAGAAAAAAGTTCCATGTGCTCAAGGCAACCCAAAAGGCTATTTCAATTTTAGTGGTTTCTTTTCAGGGTTTATTGCATAAAATTATACTAATCCTAGCTTCCCAATAATTGAAATATGACTCAAAATTTTCTGCCTAATAGTTTGGCTTTTATTGAAAAGGCCCTATGACTGGTTTACATAAAGCTATCCAAGAGTTGAATGAATTTACAGAATTTGAAGAATCTTTAGTGCGCCAAAAAACTCTGCAAGAGCTAGTTAAGGGTTAAATTTGTCATAATGAAGCCAATGTTTTCTCTATATTCTCTATTCTCATTCGTTCTTACTACTTCTCTCATTAATCATGAGCAAAGCATCATCAGCCTTTCATTTTTTGTTCTAAAATAGAGGCCTTAAGTGCCTTAGGCGACTGTTTTCTTATTTAAACTCAGGGTTTATCCCAGAGTTTTAAATTCAAGTTACTTTAATGGTGTTCATTTAATCTTTTTCAAATCTGTTGCAGCTAAAAATTATCACTTTAATACACGATCTCATCGCTGAAAAGCAATTTGCTGCTAAAGACGTGGAAGGAATTGCAGATAGCACAGACTTTAATTCCACCGATGAAAAGTTATTAGCCGAGTTGGAGGAAAAGAAGGAAAGATTACGACAGTACAACTCAGTAGATTTAGAAAATAAGCTCATAGGACATGGATGGTGCAACCACTTGAGTCAAATTTTGATGGAGCAGAGTTCTGTAACAACTGATCGCACCGAGCGGAGAGACGATCTAAGTTCAGCAATCGCTGACTTGCCCGTACGATTCGAGCATGATGTCATAGAAAAAATTCTTGAGTGCTTTGCTGTGCTATCAAGCAAATGTCATAAACAATTTAGAGATAATGAAAAACTGCATCTGACACTAAAACATCTGAGCTCATGGTATTCTAATTTAGCATCAAAGGAAATTAATTCCGATTCAGACTATTATACCAACTTATCCAATCTAGTCAATGAATTAATGGTTAGGCTGAATGTTAATGACGTTTCTGTTTTTACTGCGTTTCCAAAGGATGAATTGTAAATAAACTAGGAATAAATTTTATTATTTTTTTCTAAACTTATGTTATTTTTGGTCACAATGTTTAATCCTCTAACATGAAATCATCACACGTGGGAGATTTTCCTTCCTTCTCTCTAAAAGAGACCTCAGGCACCTTTCACAGATTTTTTTCTTGTATATTTTGTGCCCCTAATCTAAAATTGGCTGGTTAAATTTTCCTGTGATTTTCTTGATGAAGTGTATATTTTATTTTGTTGCCATGACAACCCTTCACTGAAATCTAAACACCAAAACATAACCTTCCGTTTTAAGGGTGAATTAAATTCAGTTGTTTTAAATCTGGATATCAGCTTTTAACTAGAACAACAGGTCTATATTATAACTTTTTGTTAATTTCAATGTGTGATATTGAGTTGTAGGTAACTTCTTTGGAAATTGAATCAGTCAGTGAGCTGATTTGCATAATTTGTCAGTTTTTTCGTGGGTTCCAATTTAGGAAAAAATGTATAAATTGAATCAAACACTCATTCTAATGGCCAGTGCTTCACCTGGATTCAACAATCTCAGCGTAAAGCAGTTGGGTAAACCGAAAGTGGCGGAAAGTATCGCTGTAATCCACAAAGGATACATAAATATTATACCAACCGATGAGTCAGAGTTGAGCCACTCAAAATATGTCCCTGTAGCACCTTCTCGAGCAGACAATATCACAGTGACACAGGTACATCATATTCAAATTCATTCTCTCAATTCTGTTCCTGCGCTTAGGAGTACATATTCCCATAATGCCTTGTGTCAAAGTATTCTATTCATTTCATTAGAAGGATTCAATTTACCTGGTGTCATGAAAATATTTGTTCTTTCTCTGTTCATCGATTTCGAATTTTTTTGCTGTTTCTTAAATAGTTAAAATTAGTAACTACACTTTGTAAAGAAAAAAATAAATATATTAGAAGGGCTTTTATCAAATTTGGCACTTGCAATGGATTATTAAAAAACAGTTCTGCTACCTACTTTTTGAACATTATTGCTCAAAAAGTAAGATGAGGTGTATAAATATTTATGAAAGTAAGTTCATAGAATTTTTGTGACATTCCAACGTGGATAAGGGTACATCGCAGGGTGCAGCAGTCAATAATCTATAAGATATCGATTGCTGGATATTGCAAAATAGAGTAAGTCTCTTCGATAGCATAGGCAAGTTCAAATTAATTTACCCAATAATATAAGCACTTATGTATCAACAGCGTAAGTCCGCAATCACATATCTTGTTAGCGATGTCTGAAAATCTCCGTCTCTATGTTATTTTTTTTAAGGAGAACAAATTGACATCATTCCTTGAGGTTTATGCAGAGTTTTCTTCGCACAAAGAAGAAAAATCACGGCAGTTTTGATGAATTGCCACTGAGTAGTTTTCCATTTAAAAAATGAAGTTTGACAAAGACAGGAAGTCTGCGACGTTGCAAACCGAGTTTTGTGATTGCAGTCTTACACCGTCGATATGTTGCTTTATTGCTCTTCCTGGCGCTATGGATAACCTCCAACAAAACTAAATTTTTCTTATTAAAACCCTAAGAACTCAGCTACGTACACTTGATCAGAGGTCCACATCTCGAAGAATATCTCAAAGATCTCTTCTTGTGCAGGAAATGCTCTTCTTTGTTTCAAAGGATTTTGACGGTTGAATCCTTTTTTAAATTGATTCAGCGAAGTTTCTAGAAATTTTATATAAAGGGAGTCAGTCTAGAACATCTAGGTATTCTTGAGAGAAGGATTTTTTTTTAAACAAATAAATATTGATGGCTACGGTTGAAAAATGTGGAGTACCGATAGTACGATCGTTGTAAATTTCTGCATACGTTCTATTTTCTAAATGGAAACTAAGCAGCAAGAAAAGAGTATGTCGCATTCGTTTATTCCTAAATAAGAATCCTCATTGATCTCTTTTATAAATCTTAAATTTACTGCTTTTTCTGCTACATTAAAAAATTGTAAATTAGAGGTAATTCCTTAAATCTATGACTAGTAATTTTTCATTCCTTAGAAGTACATACACTCAATTCAAAATTTACCAATCGTCAAAGTCATAGACTGTTTCTATTAAAATGTTCTGTGAATTTTCCTCGAACGCGATAAAAAAATTACACAAAATTGTATTGCGATCAGTATTCTTTGTAAAAGATTAAACGTATTTGAGAGTTCTTGAACGTTGCAATTGAGAAACGAATTTTTTGTATTTCGCCATCTAAGTACATGCCAGATGATGGAACTTTTTAGGTGGCCATCAGACAATGAATAAAGCATGTCAATGTTCATCAAAGTTTGTGCCATCTTCAAACTCCGTAAAACCATGAATTTTTGTAATTTATGATGCTCTCATTCACCCAATAAATCACAAAAATTGTGTAATTTCAGGTGATGTGGTGTGAATTAGGTTTTGATTCTGTGTTTGTGGTAACTTCAACTCAGGGTCTTCAGATTTTTGATGCAGATGCATACCATTGCATTTTCACACACCCGTGTAAAGATACTTCGGCAGTCCAAGGGGGAACTTTTTCTCGCGGAATAGCTAACATTTTTTCAAATTATATCTGCGTTGGTAAGTTCAGTACATAGCTCTGCAAAGTTCTTTTTTGTTTTTTTTTCCTCCTGCGACCCGGAGATTTCACCACTTTAACAGCGCTTCCGTCTTGAGGTCATTTTCTTTTTTCACACCCCCAAGAATCGCAAAGAAAAATTCTCCCTTTTGCAGCAATAAATAGAACACCGGAGTCTGAGCTGTCCTCTAAGGCTCGAGGCTAGGATCGATGGCTCGAATTATAATCTGAAATGGCGAGTCATTTTGCCACCATGTCTGGTCTGTACACCACTATAATAAATGGGATGACTCCTTGCCCTAAGGACTGAGGAGGTCTTACCTAATTTTGGGTCCACGCGGGCAGTATCCAATATTAAGATAAATTTGGATTCTATGGGGGTTGGTAATTTTTCAATATTTATTGGAGAAAATAAAAATAAAAAAAATGTTTTGAAATAAAGTAATCGGCTGGGTTTTCTGCTTAATTGCGCCGGGCAGTCTAAATTTAATTTTGTACTTTCAAATTGAAAGAAAGTGTATGTTCACTGTTGTATATTTGGTTGCTCATGAACGGTTTTGCTTTGTACATGCAGCTATCATCCAGTGTTCCTTTTTTTTTTATGTTACAGGGAATAGTGGAGGGTGTCTACGGGTGTTTGGGGCAATAGATGAAACTTCTGAGGTGACATTCATCGATAGGAAAGCAGTGCATCAGAGTGCTATCACTGATATTAGCTGCTGTGATCAGTACTTAGCATCTGCAGATTCCAATGGGGATATATTTTATTGGGAATTCACGGACGAACAATTGATTAGCCTCTCACAGATAAAAAGTTATGGGTAGGTTTTCAACGCACAGAATTAAAATAATCAACCTAGACCGGGATCTCAAGAAAAAGAAACTGTGTTGGTTTCTGTTCATTAAAATGTAAAATGTGACTGGGACACAGTTTTTAATAAAATCTTATTCTCTTCAATTTTACTGCATGGAAAGATTTACAGATCTTATTGCAAAACATCTTGTTTGCTTGATATTATTTTGGTTTGATCATTAAAAAATCCATTCGCCCAGTTCATTCGATGGATTAAATTTTCAAAGAAATTGGACTTTATTGTAAATAGGTAACTGCAGAAGGACTAATCTTACAAAGTTTCACTGAAAAGGCACTCTAAAATATTTTCCAGATTTTGCTGTATTAACATAAAGTTAACAAGTGACTGGCTGGTGGCAGGATATGGGAGTGGACACATACGGCTTTTTGATCTGAAAAAAACGTCCAGAGATTCCACCCAGTTTTCACTGCTTGTTGAGATTGCAGCTCATGCAAAATGGATTAGTGGGTTGGACGTGTCATTAAATCTCCAATATATCTTGACAGTATCAGAGGATTCTTTTGCCAAAGTCTGGGCCATTGAGAAAAGAAACGATTTTTATGTAAGAATACTGTTCAGTGTCATTATACTACTTTTACTCTACCTTACGGAGACAATGTTGATTTTCAATAGGATTGAAGCTTGAAAAACTTTAATATTTTCAATGATACTCAGATTCAATTTCATCAAACAAATACTTATGCATAGAATATGATGTAATTTGTCATGGATAAATTTTACTTATTGTTGAGTTGAAAGATAATTTAAAACCTCCTCTCACAGATTTGAAGAGTTAATACTGAAAATGACTCCGGTAGAGGGCTCCCAATGCAAAAAAATCAGGAAGAGAAAACAAATTACATTCTTTTCGCCAGTTTCTTATTTAAAAATTGATTCCTGAACTTCATATGAAGTGTCCTTTTTTTTTACATCCGTGCTCACTTGACATAGGAGCGCAACTCCATTTTCACATGAGCTCTGAAAAGCAAGGAGGATAATAAACTCATCTTGAGTTTTAGTTATGCTCTTACGTTGAAAGAGCACAAACATGTTTGGTTTTTACAAAAGAAATGGTTTGGTAAATAAGTGGGAAATGCCAAAATTAAGAACTTATGTGCCAGTGCATCACTCTAGAAAATAGTTCTTTTGCATGAGTAGAGACTCTGTCAAAGTGTCTTATCTACATGCAATCTACACGTATCCTGATGTTTTGAGGTGGATACAATTTTTCAGTGAGAATTTAGACAATTCTTTCTTTACAGATCATAACACATTTATCTTCAACTCATGTGACGGATAACCTGTTGGTTGGTGGAAGATTTTTGGCATCAAATGGGGCACATTTTTGCGTGACCTCATATGATAACAGTAATGTATACTGTTTTAAGATGTAAAAATAAAGAAATAAAAATTACATAAATTGACTTTTAATTTCACGTTTTCTTTCCTCCTTAAAGTGATACCAGATTAAATTAAGAAAGAATACAATTATGATACAGGAAAATGCTGTAAATAGAATTTTCTGTAGAAATAATAATTTAAATCGTATGAAACACTTCAGACCCAAAGGAAATATTTTTGACCATGAATTTGAAGACTTTTTCTTTGCTAACAAATGAAAAATAAGGCTGGAGTGTAGGCTACCCACTAATTAAGAGCTATAATAATTTTCATTTATTTATCACTTGAAAATATAAAATTTCTGAAGTTTGTAGTAACAAGACTTTAGTCTTTCAGACTCATCTTAAAATTTAAAAGGAAACAAACATGGTGTTTGAAAAAGTAAAACCTACAAATTTAAAAATTAACAGTTCTAAAAGTTACTTATTGATGCTCGCTAACTTTTCTCCCCCCCCCCCTCCAAAAAAAACCTTATAAAATACAAAATTAAATAAAATGAAAAAGAACAAAGATCCTAAGACGAGGAATAATCAGTCTCAAAATTGAAGTATAAGTTAAGATGCATCACCAGCGCTAGCACCAGCTTCATTATTGCTTGGATCATGATCATCGGAGGAATTTGAAAGTAATTTCTTTTTCCTTTTCTTTTCTTTTAGCTTCGAGAGGTATTTTTCCCAGTGCTTGTGATTGAAATTAGTTAAATCGTCCTGTTTAGAAATTAATCGGAGGTACTTAGCTAGTTTAATTAATTCAACATCTTTATGCCTATTAATGTGAGCTTTCTGAAATGGTCGGATTTTCAAGCCGTTTTTGGGGTTCATTAGAAAATTTCTATTAATGTCATCAAACATAATGGTGTTGGAGGGTTTGTAATACTCAGGGAATTTGCCCCATATTACTCCTAGAGGTTTCACCTGCAACAGATGGAAAAATTTGTGAAATGAGAGTTACTGAAAAAATATTCATCAGACAAAACATGTTCCTTTAGCACGATGCTATTCTTCTACCCAAATGGATAGCCCTGTGGCAAATTTTAGTGAGAGAATGAGCGTCATTCATTTCAAGGATGACCTGTTGTTGAAGTCCATAATGAATGTACCTTCATGGAAACTTCTAAAAACTGCATACTGATGAAGTTAAAAATGCCTCTTTTAGAGAGGAAATTTAGAGTTGGAGAATTGACGCCTTCAAAACTCTTTCCTGTGGGACTCTGAGGCTAAATTCAGACGGTCAAATTTTCCATTAAACTTTTCTTCTGCTTTTTTCTGATGAAAACTTAAAACACAACGATTGCATAATATGTTGAACGGAAACTTGAATCTGACATCACTTTCAACTTTTCATCTAGTTGAAAGAGCCGGTTGAAAAGTTGAACGAAAAGTTGGGGCAAAATTTTTGGACGACATTTTTCATTGAATCAAATTTTTTTTGCCTTCAACTATTCATTCAAATTTTTGTCAGCTTTTGTCGGATGAAAAGTTAAACTTTCTGAATTGGACTTCACCTTGTAGGTGTTGGAAAAAATGTAATATTTTAAATGTAATACTTAATTCTGAAGGTAAAATCTTTAAACTATTAAATTGAAGAGGCTGGGCTGGCTGGGTTAATTGTTGGTACAAAATTAATATGAAATATTATCATTGAAATTATACTTGAAGACAGATTGAAAATTATTTCACAAACTTTGGTATCCAACCTTTTGATGTCATATTAGTTCAAAATGATACCAACTTTTGACTTTTTTCACTTTTCCGCTTCTGAGATGTGTGGTCAAGGCAAAAAAAAGAAATAGATACAGGAGTTACTATAGACAAAGTACCATACCACAACAGTTAGTAATCGGTGCTAACCATACAACCTGAGTTCTAAAGTCTGAAGAGTAAATGGAATGATTTCAATTTATAATTACCTGAACCACACCGTATTTTGGAGCATGAACGGTGATCATTGCAGAGCAGTCTAAATAGAAACATATTTTATAGTCCACATGTTTACTAACTCCTAATAGTTTCATTTTCTCCTCAATCCATTTCATACTGGTTGCTGACCAAATTACTATGTCGTAATCCTGCAATTACAAGTATTATATTAGAGAATAATAATTAAAAACCAAGCAAACACAGATAGTAAGGGTGCCTCCTTTATGATTTCATCAAACGTGACAGTCAGAAAGAATCCGATCTTAGTTTATGGAGGCTAAATTTGAAGAAGACCCAATTTTGTGGAGTTAGGTTGAAAAATCGGCTATCTATATTTTGACAGAAAACTTCTGGTATCCTTAAGAGTAAGTAGTGGACGGTTTAGCGTATTTTCATGCTAATAGTAGGCATGAAGTTGAATTATAAACCAGTAATTTAATGGCCTAAATACAGCAGATTAGAATCTTACATGGCTCAATCTCAAATTTACGCTTTTTGAATTGTGAACTTCCAAACGCCATCAATCAGGGTAGGTTTGACGTTTTTGGGAATCTCTGTCACAAAAAAACGTAGAAAATTTTTCAACACCTTGATATCAATTAGCTCAATTTATATGTTAACAAACTAAGGTCTTTTTTTTTGCGCTTAGTCACAAATAAAGAAGTGAAAAATTGTCTTGCCTGTCAGGCATTGTAACATTTGTTTGAATCTCTACTAGGCACGCAGAAAGTTCTTGGCCTTCCAATTTTAAAAACCTTTTATTCAAACTTTTCAAGGCTAAAACCTTGTTTTTGTCCTTTATTCGCAGATTGACAAAATTTTAATTAGCATGAACCATCGGTCGTAGCTTCATAAGATATCAAAGGTATTATGCCAATGAAAAACATTCTTCACGATGTTACATTTTCAGCTTTCTGTCTCCAGTCATGATGGTTACATCAAGTTTGTTTAGCTTGGAATTGCGCTTTCCAACAAAATTTACCTTGGAAACGCTTACTTTTAACATAATTCTTGTGCTATGCACTGGACGCTCTTACAATGTACTAGAGAAAGGAGATCTTACTCTATATGCAGAGGTAAGAAATTCATGCAAGTACGGCCGCATCAACTCCACTCCACTTTCAGCAGGTGAGCGATGATCAAATAGAGTATAATCTATATCCAACACTAACAGCTTCTTCCCTTCTCTTGGTGGGTTCAAAATATTGATCTACGATTAGAAAGAAAAATAAAAGACATATTAATAGTATGAAAACCAATTATCTTATTTATTTATTTATTAAAAGGTTGGCGAGAGGGAGTGGAGGGGGAGATCGGACGGTGTAATCTGCCCGATGATTTGTGGGAGGATCGATTCCGATGGCAATTTGGAGTCGCAGAGCGCTCTAGTGCGCTGAGGTAGCGGCTTGATATGTATGTAAAACCAATTATCAACTTGAACATACCTAACAAAGAGTGTCTCAGCAGCTTTGGGATACACTTAACATCAAAATTTTTGACTGAAAACAGGTTTCTTCTCTGAATTGAACAATTTGAGTATACATCTTGAGGCACACTGTGCCCCCATGCCTTAAAAATAAAAATGAAAAATTCAGGGAGCTTTCTCAGGTGGGAGGGGGGGGGATGTTATCAAGTAAGGGAAGGAATAAGTAGTGCTATTGGTTTCTATGAGCAATATGAGGTAAGTATGTGAATTGATCTATTGATCTTCATTCGAGAACATAAAATAGAGTCACACTTGTTTTTAGAGTTACCGCACTGTTTATTTATACATTTGATTGCAATACTTACCCCAAAGATGAAAATAGGAGTAGAGGGGAGCACTAACCTGGTGTTCTTTGACTCTTCGTTCAATTTTGGCAAGATGGACTTCTCTGTTTTCGAGTGCAATTTCTTCGCCTTCTGGAATATCGAAATCATCAACTACTTCGGGTAAGTCCTCAGGCACTGAACTAGCATCAGCAATATCTTCCTCCAGTGATCCCATCATCATGATTTTAAATCCAGGTTTCAACTTGAGTTCAGATAACAGGCAATCATTTTCAGGGACTTTGCCTATGGAAAGAATACAAGGAAGTTGAAGGCACTATAATGGCATGGAGAAAAAAAAGGAGGTGTTTGCATCTTGAGGCTTGTGTACCCTGTGATGTAGGTCGGTACAACCTGGTCAGTAAAATCCAGAATTCGAAGTATGAAAAACAGACCATAACGTCCGATATCAACTCATGATGTAATTTCGAACACTTTAGGTAAAATGCATTTTTTCCATAAACTACACCATTTCCAAGAAAATGGATGATAAAAGTTGCCGAACCAACCTATGTCATCGAAAAAATTCCAAGATGCTCGAAATGCAAACACCTCCTTTTTTTCTCTATGCTAGAATGGAGGGGCTTGGAGGACAAGAAGCATAAGTGCAGTTTTTGCTAATTCAAGGAATAAGTGTTTAAAGTTTCAATAACAGGGAGCCTTATGGACGAAAAGAAGTTTAAACTCACTGTTTGATGCGTAACAGTTGGATTTCAGTTGTTAATTTTTCAGAGAATATACCTCCAAACTGGTTTTAGTTGAATTAATGATAAATTTTTTCAAAAACTGCAGTTATGCGCCTTGTCCTCCAAGCCCCTCAATTGTTGCCTGGGATATTAATGAGATCTGAGATTACTCTGACGACAGATTGACGCCCAGGGAAGAGATTATTAAAGGACTGGACATCAGAATAGCAACTTGATCAACCATTTGGTCGGATCCACTATGATTATTTGTCAGTCATAAATTTGCAGGCTTATCTCATAGTCAGTAAGATAAGATTGTGATTCTTAGCAAGATGATTTCGAAGTGTTAAAGTACAGCTTCGATAGGATTATTTCCAATTTTGAAATGTTATCAGGAGCAAAGTATTCTCTTCAAGGATCCGATACAGCAGAAGGTGTTGATGCGCTTCTTTTCAATTTAGCTCTTACAGTGATATGGGATGTTCATAGTGAGAGATTATTTAATCCTTACCTTGATGCTTCAAATTTAGCAGTTTTTGTCGCTCAGGTCGAACTCCTGTTTGTTTGAAGATAGTACCTTTCAAACTTGCTACTGAGTCCGAGGAAGGTATGGTGATATCATAATCTGTTCCACTCCACCTGACGGTGATTTGCAAACTATCGCCCATAGTTAGAGATTCAGAATTTCTTCAGTTGCTTTTATTCAATAGACCAAAATGAACGTAGAGGATGATTAGTGGCATTAAAATTAAATTGCTAACTCGATTTTGGCTGACTTCACCTGACTTCACTCTACGCGAGCCGCACAAGCATTTCATCATTTCGAGCGACAATAAACAAAACAATTTACGATGTCCACCAAGTCACGTTCAACCGGTTCAACGAGCATCAAGTCTAACTTTAACGCGGGAGATTTAAGTTGGCGGGGAAGATTTTTTGGGGTGCCTCTACTTCCGCTACCTACCCACTTATGGTCAATGGCAATCAGGGCCGGATTAAGGGCGGGTGGCCACATGGGCCGCGGCCCATGGCGGCAAAATGTAGGGGGCGGCAAATTTTGCAATCTTTTTGAATGTAGATATCAAAAAAAGAGAGAGAAAATCGGATTCAGAAAATAAATTACAAACGAGAAAAGACGACAAAATCTCTCATTTCCTCAGTATAGTAATTGAGGAGCTTTCTGGGAAAAGGGCACATAGCAAAAAATAGCATTTGAGAAAAATGCATTTTAAGTATCCATAATTAATTTCTGGCCACTGATGGTACCTACCTTTCATCGCAGCTTGGACTCCCGATTTCGAACGAAAGTCACTGTTAGTGGCCACAGAGTAACGATCAAAACTTCAAATGCTACTCTCTCAAACACAATTTTTTGCTATGTGCATTTTTTCCGGAAAGCTCATCAATTTCTAATTTTTTCGTCTCTCGGTGATACATGAGACAACACCTTCAATTAGTCGAGTTAAAAGAGAAACCAAACACGCAGTTTGACCCGGAACGGAGCGGCGCGGCGGTCAGCATGAAACGCATAGCGCCTACAAGACTGCATGAATACTTCACGCATTGCGTTAAACACGCTGCGGTCAGCAGCAGTTGGCTGGAAACGCATAGCGCCTGCAAGACAGCATGAATACTTCACGCGTTGCGCCAAACAGTGTGGTCAGCAGCGGTCGGCGTGAAACGCATAGCGCCTACAAGACTGCATGAATGACATTGCGCCGACACAGTGCGGTCGGCGCGGCGGTGCGGTGGAAGTTAAAATTTTTAACCACATTTACCTATGTTTGTTCTTTCATAATTTTTTCGTTCGTTTTTTATACATGGAAGGCCTTGTCCAAACAGGAATGGGTTTATGGGACTGAATTTTTGTTAGTGTTGACAGGGCTTTCACAAAAAATGCACCCAACACGAGTAAACGCGTCTCATACACCCCTCCCCCACCGGCTTGTTCACTTGATGGTTTTTATAGATCGTATAATCGACAGATCACACGGGTGAGATTATATTGATATCGATTGGTTCCACAGCCTCAAAAGTCAATTTAGAAATCTGAGGTACCGGGTCTTATGTGATTAAATTTTTACTCTCTGGCAATGAAAAGTGAAATTGTTAGGAATTTTCTTATTTTCAGCTTTTCCAAATTAATCATATAATTTTTGTTTAAGGTTATGTTCTATTGTTTTGAACCAAACGATACATCGAACCACTGTCGAATACGATCTATTGATGTTTCAAAACAAATGAGAAGGGGGGCGGAAAAATACGGGCGGCAAGTGGGTAAATCCGGCCCTAATGGCAATTCCTAAAACTGTCGTGATTTATTCCTCCCCGAACGTAGAAAATTCTGCGGAAACTTCAAGGAATGATGTCGCGCCGCTTTGCTCTCCTTTCAAAAAATAAAATAAGAGCGTAGATTTTCAAACGCCGCAAACGAGGACTGGTTGCGGACTAACACCATCCACATACAAATCGTCACCTTTCGGCCAAAGTATAGCACACGCTTCAAAATGTCCTTCCTTCATTTTACTTTTTTACAGAGAAAATCTTCGACGAAGCTTTCCGTAAATTTCACTGAATTTTCTTTTTGCTGCCAATAAATACAGTGAAAGTTTTAAAAAGATTCAACCAACAATTTCTCTGTAAAAAATATAAAACGGCGGCGAACATTTCGAAACGTGGCATGACGCTTTGTGATACTTTGGCCGGAAGGTGACGGACGAGGTCCTTCCCGACCAAACAACGTATGCAATAAAGATAACTCATACTCTGAATAAGGAAGGCACCACTTGAATCCCATGTCGACAGCTGCAAAATATCGGCAGATATGATTTTATTGGTGCCGAAAGGTTGACCCATCAGTACATTTCCGAGCAAACAGCATATACGCATATCATTCCTCTGTTCGGCATGTACATTTTACATGTTTACATGACCAAGATTATATGATGAACGCGGTTTGCGTTTTCCCTTACTTCCTTACCCACAAAANGCGGAGCGTGATTGGTCGGCTATGTCTTATCGCTGCTTTGTCGTGCCTTTGTCAGGTGGAATGGACGACATACTATCGGAAACTTAAGAGGTACCGATAGCTTGTCGTGAGTTCAACCCGACATAGGCACGACAAAGCAGCGATAAGACATAGCCGACCAATCACGCTCCGCCTTTTAACCTATGTCATCCATGTCCGCCTGACAAACACAAAATTTCAATAATCGGCCCGCAGAATAAGGAAGGCACCACTTGAATCCCATGTCGACAGCTGCAAAATATCGGCAGATATGATTTTATTGGTGCCGAAAGGTTGACCCATCAGTACATTTCCGAGCAAACAGCATATCGACGGTGAAACTACGAAACCACGTATCTCGTTTGCGGTGTTTAAAAATCTCCGCTCACATTTTATTTTTTTGAAGTAGACCAAATCAATATCATTCCTTGAAATTTTCACAGAATTTTCTCCGCACGAAGAGGAAAAATCACGGAAATTTTCAAGACTGGACGTTAAGTATCTTTTCATTTAAAAAATAAAGTATGACAGGAAGTCTGCGACGTCGCAAACTGAGATACGTGGTTTGGTAGTTTCACCGTCGATATACGCATATCATTCCTCTGTTCGGCATGTACATTTTACATGTTTACATGACCAAGATTATATGATGAACGGTTTGCGTTTTCCCTTACTTCCTTACCCACAAAAATCATTTCCAATGGGAGGAGGAAGGGGGGGGGGTGAAACACCCATAAAATTAACTACTTGGGAAATCCCCATTTTACGGTGTGTGCAAAAAATCGATTTTTTCCGAAAATCGAAAAAAAAAATCAACAACACTAGGTGGAGTTTTATGTAAATTGTTGAATAAAGTTAGAAGGGGAATGTCCTGGATAAAAAAAAAAAAAAAAAAAAAAAAANAAAAAAAAAAAAAAAAAAAAAAAAAAAAAAAAAAAAAAAAAAAAAAAAAAAAAAACTAGGTGGAGTGTTTTTTTATCTCAACGTCGGAGATGAGAAAATTTGCAGCCGCGCAAGCGCTAGAGTATTATTTCAGCGGAAATCCGATTGTCTAGCATCAAGTCGAAGCGATACTTTTACAAGGCGCTCTGAGCAACTATTCGACCTCAGAAGTATTGCACAGTATCAAATTTAATTGAAGGCGCACTAGTTACCGCTGCACTGTCTATCTATCTACTGATCCTAAAATATGCGGCTCCGGTTCGCTCCATTTTTGTGACACTTATACTAGTCGGAAATTTTTAAGGAAACTCCTAATTTCAACTCAAATTTTCAAAATTCGAAAATCCAAGTGTAATGAATCCGGATGAAGCGTAAAATGCCTAGTCCTAGGTCCTTTTTATGTCCCATCTCGTTTGTTGAAGCGTTTTGGAGCCTGATGTTTTGTTTAGTTAAGGTGCGAGTATTTATCTGGTCTGTCATACTCCACGGCGGATTTTCGTTTCTGGTGCGCTTCAGCAAAGGGGAACTCCTGCACTTACTTGTCAGGTTTGTTTTGTTTAGTCTAAGTACATCTTAGACGCCTGATACACTCCTTGGAAGTTCAGCATTTACTCGACTTATGATTAATCTCAAATTGCGTTGTCACAAACCCGAGGAGCTAACTGCACTTGCAACATACGGCAGTTGTCTCTCATCACTGGAGGATATCATAGCCACTAAGATCACTTCGACTGTTCAACAGTAGCAGCCAATCAGTTAAGAAGAATATACATTAAGAGCAGATGCCGAGCAAAATTGAAAACGAACATTTATTTTACAATGCTAAAACACTTAATAGTGATACAAACTAAAAAGAGATGAAAAAAATGACAGGTAATAGCAAAAGCTGTAAACTGTCAAATTTCAATCCAAAAGAATACTTACTAAACTAAGGTCTCCATATACTAATGAAAATTCATGATTTTATTTTATTTTTTTCGTAACTTTCAGGATCGATTTTTCGGCTCGAGATATGACTCTTTTACCGATACACATTCGACGGTGAAACTACCAAACCACGTATCTCGGTTTGCGACGTCGCAGACTTCCTGTCATACTTTATTTTTTAAATGAAAAACTACTTAACATCCAGTCTTGAAAATTTCTGTGATTTTTCCTCTTCGTGCGGAGAAAATTCTGTGAAAATTTCAAGGAATGATATTGATTTGGTCTACTTCAAAAAAACAAAATGCGAGCGTAGATTTTTAAACACCGCAAACGAGATACGTGGTTTGGTAGTTTCACCGTCGATATGCCCAAAAACGCTTCATAAGTGAGCTATGCACTAGCACTTAGTTATAAGCATGTTTTTTTTTTTTTTTAGTCCTTGCAGTGAAAATTGCCTGCCCAGCAAGGAGCGCTTCGAAAATCTGTAACTTTGTCAAAGCTCTGTTTCGTTAAAATGACGCGTTCCTGGAAAATTTTTCGTGCTCCCTTACGTGCCATAATCTTTTTCCCTAAATATCATCTTCCAAAATAGTTATCGCAATTTTATAATATCATCTTCCAAAATAGTTATCGCAATTTTATAATTCGGGAACGCTCGTAACGTCTCTTCCCGAAGACGTGTAATGTATTTCCTTGAAAACACAAAGATTGAACAATACGCTAAAAATACCTCCACACGCTTAGTTTCAGCTCCTTATGACAAATTAACGAGGAGTCACATCCAGGCTCGGACTGGCCATAAGGCCAATCTGCCATTGGCAGATACGCCCCATTGGCGCGCCAAAAACGCGCCCCTCTGACAGCTAGCAAAATAAGAAGAGAAAAAAAATTACGACCGAGAATATATGCGGAAAATTTCTTAAATGAACGGAAAAAGAGAGAGTTAG